AATCATTGTTGTTTTTTCTTGTCGTCATTGTCCAGACCAATGCATGAGGGGCTAAACTGGGAGTGAATGTGATTGGATTTTCAGTCTCCATCATTAAATTCCCATGCGGGGAATACTAATTCCAGTATTTAGTGCGGTGATGCTAGGGCTTGCTTTCATCTTAAACTGATTCCAGTCTAATTAGATTGGGCATGTGGGGGGTGCTGGATGTATCCGTCTGAACTAATCCTTGCCTCTCTGTCCCAAACATTGTATTATCCAGAGAAAATCCATTGGCTCCAGGCTATTCAAAGCCAGATCTGCCTCCACTGCAGGCTCTGTACTGTATCATCTGGAAAGCTGTTCCTAGGAAGCTGCGCTGTACAGCGAGGGTGGAACCTAATGGTCATAAGTGATGTATGGGTTGCAGAAAGCACCATTTAGAATTTACAGTAAACCTCTTATCGTGTATTCAGGGCAAGATCGCTCACTGCTTTGGCCTCTTTACCAAAGATGTGCCTAAACTGTAATTTTCTAGTTCACTTTATGGTCAAATTGGATGGTCTTAAAATAAAGGTAGCTCAAAACTCTGTGTTAAGGTTTTAAATATTTTAGTCGGGCCTGAAGATACACAATATATAAACTCAGAAACAAGTGCTGTCACTGTGCTAACATCACCCTGGACCCTGCTCATGAAGAACATGGTGAAAAACAGTGTAAAGAGGTCTTTCTTCTGAGAAGTCCAAAAAACCAACAAAAAAAAACAAAAGAAAGGCCTTCAGCCATTGTTCTCTACAAAGGTCAATTGCAATTCAATTCCATAATACGGAAGGGGGGTGGGCTAACCTAGAAAGTGCTAGCATTTTAAGGGTGAGCAACAGGAAAGGGCCATTCAGCAGAACAGTTGCACCCTGTGTGTCAGGCACATTTGTCAAGGACGAAGGGTGAATTCAGAAGAGTGGAGAAATATGCTGCTTTTGAGGCTTTTCCATTTCGTGGCCGTTTCACTGCATCTACACACTAAAGTGTTTGTAGCCAAACTATAAAGACCACAACTGAATCAGTGAGAAGATCCTCATCCGCTCTTTTATTTTTGTTGCCCTTGTGAAATTTCATTAGGTGGATTTTACAACTTGTGAATGTCGGCTTTCTCCATGACCCTGACACTTCTCACTGGCAGGGTGTGATTTATTGTGTTAAGGTGTTCCTGAGGTGCAATTTTTAATGTGACAGCCTGTGTTGACCTCACATCTAAAAAGTCACCCTCTTGTCTGACACTAGCATCCATTTTTGCCTCTAAATAGAATTCTGAAAGTAATACACAGACTAAAGGAAATGAAACTATTTATTATATTTCTATCCATCAAATAATGAATAAAGGGTAAAATAAATAATAAGCATATTTGCCCCTTGTTTATATTTTCTTTAAATATCCAAAGGGGTCTTAGTATTTGTTCTGCAAGCTTGATGACGGCCCTTTAGAGTTTTTCCTTCCAGCACTGGCAGCTTCTTCACTAATTTTCAGTATCAATACCTGACAATGGTTAGAGGAATGTTTCTTAATTTGTGACGCAACTTAACAGTGGCCACTGAATTATTCAGATTGGGGAAAAAAAAAAAAAAACATTATTGAATGTCATACTGCTAAATGCAGACATACATACCACAACTTAATACAGGCAACATTTTAATTTTCCTTGATAATTTTATCACAACCTGTTTAAAATGTTCTTAAGTTGGGCAGCATGGTGGCGCAACTGGTAGAGCTGCTGCCTCTCAGTGAGCAGGTCCTTGGTTCAAACCCCGGTCCAGGGGCCTTTCTGGGTGGAGTTTGCATGTTCTCTCCGTGCATGCGTGGGTTTTCTCCAGGTACTCCGGGTTCCTCCCACAGACCAAAAACATGCATGTTAGGCTGATTGGTAACTCTAAATTGTCCCTAGGTGTGAGTGAGAGAGTGAATGGTTGTTTGTCTCTATGTGGCCCTGTGATGGACTTGCGACCCGTCCAGGGTGTACCCCGCCCCTCGCACAGTGATTGCTGGACAGGGGCACCAGCGACCCCCGTGACCCAAAATGGAACAAGCGGGTAAAGATAATGGATGGATGGATGGATGGATGTTCTTAAGTTTTTATTTGTACCTATGAAATATGCAAAAAATACCAGTTATACAATTTTATCTTTGTACTAGTGGGGAAATAATAATTCAAAAGTAGCCAAAAGCCTAGCGTATCTTTTTTATAGCATGCACCATGTTCTTAAAAAGTGAGTAGACTGGACAAATGCATCTTTAACCGCTTCTTCCTTTTCGGGTCGCGGGGGTCACTGGTGCCCATATCCAGCAGTCACTGTGCGAGAAGCGTGGGACACCCTGGACAGGCCTCCAGTCCATCACAGGGACACATGGAGACAAACGAGACAAACAACCATTCACTCTCTCACTCACACCTAGGAGAAATTTAGTTACCAATCAGTCTAACATGCATGTTTTTGGTCTGTGGGAGGAAACCGGAGTACCTGGAGAAAACCCACACATGCACAGAGAGAACATGCAAACTCTACCCAGAAAGGTCCCAGGCTGGGATTTGAACCAGCAACCTGCTCACAGAGAGGCTGGTTCCAGAAATACCTGATAGTTAAAGGTGTTGCTTCATTCTGGACGTGTAAATTCAGGGACCAATTAAACTTTGCTTTAGGAGTATTTTCACCAGTTATCAAAGAATGGTGGATGAAGGCATCTTCGAATTTGAATATAGTTCTAAACTTTACAGAAAGTCGGTTGTATATAACCTAACACACAACAATTGATCTTGTATTGCAGCAGTGGTCAAGACCTAAAGGGAATGAACCTACAGGGTTCTGAAGCAGCGGTAAGAATTTAATGGATCTAATTGGACACTCGACTAGTCTGGCATTACAGTTGTCCGACCGCTAAACAATTCAAAACCACTCCTCAAGTATGGTCAGGTGGTAGGACTGAAAACTGCTGAAAAAGCAAGAACTATTCAATGAAAAACCTTTAAAGGACATTTAGACTGGAAAAAAAAAACTGTAGTCAAGATCACTTTAAAATAACTGGGAAGTAAATCTAACAACGCACCGTGAAAACAATCAAACTTTCCTAAAATAAATTAACAAATGATTTTTGTTGAGACCAAACTGGTTTGCAGATACAGTTTTTAATGTATCACAACAATGAGCAACAAACATACTTGATGAACTATTTCCAGAAGTTGTTCAAATACCATCTACAATAAACGTCATTTCAACTATGACAACAGGTCTGTGACAAAATTAAAAAAAAGTTTCAAAACCATGTTATTACCGTGATACGGTACAGTTGAGACCTCAAACAGTACAGTAACAAAAACTAATGCGACTACTCTCTATATATAAAACATCAATAACATTTTTGGTTTAGTTTATTTAAAGTTTTAGCCATAGGGGCTTCTTCTTATTAAAACCTCAGGGTGCATTTCCTATGTAACCCAGATGTTGTAGAGTACATATTGTGTAGGATATGATTGCGCCATGAAAATCCCTTTGACATCCAGAAGAGCAATTCCAATATCAACCTTTTGAAGGCTGTCCCGATAAACATGACACAATCCATCCAGTTTTTTTAAAAAGTTCTTTTTTTTTTCTTTTTGGCTGCTGTGCAGTTGCAATATATATGTACAGTTATATTGTTGGACCATCCTTTTAGTTGGTTTCATAGCTTTTACCAGTCCTTTGCGTGGGAAGTGTCCTGTCTGATGCTAGCATTTTAGCACATGATGCTAGCTGACAGTTCAGTCTTTTAATGCTGAGCCACAAAGTGGGGAAAGGCAAAAAGCCAGAGTTGTGAAAGCCTTTGGAATTCGGACAGTCGCTTACGTTTGTACAATGGCAGAATTGCACCTTGGGAGGCCAGGATGTCTCACATGAAACACAATCAAAAAGTGTCTTCAGGAATAAAGTAAATGTAAAATACTAAAAATCTAGGTAATGACATTTAAAAAGCTCACACAAAATGAAAAAAAAAAAATGTTTTGCTTAAAAACTTTGAAAATAAAAACACCTTTACAATTATAAAACATAAAAAGAAATGTCAATTGATTTTATTGTTTGAAACAATAACTAAGCATGATTTGATTTAACCTGTCAAACAGTTGCATTACATGCTACTTGCTCATTTCAGAATAGGAAATACCAAAAGCAATACATTTTTGCATTTCTTCATAATAATAAATTTGTACCATGCACAGCCAACTACGAATATGTACAACAGCTCAGCTTTCTTTGTTCACAAGCCTTTTTCTTTCATACAAATAGCCTTCTGTTACTTTGGAATGAATTACACTGGTTACCAAACTAGAAAGTGATTTGTAAAAATTGAACACCCTTAGAAAGCTTTCACATTCTTAGTTCCCAAAAAAAAAAAAATTAAAGAAAGGAGCTAAAGCAAATAATGAATCAGTATTTTGTCTGGTTGAAATTGAATTTATGGCAACTAAATAACATTACACAGTAGCAGCAAATGTAAAGGAATACTCTGCAATGTTGCAATCATTGAATGTGGAAATATTCTAATGTTGTGTTTCACTGGGGAAAATCAGAAGTGCCAAAAAATAAAAAATAAAAAAAAACGATGAGAGGACGTTAACCTATGCACTAAATGGGTGCGTTAAGGTTTAACACTGTTTTAAATCCTGCAAGTACATAAAAATGTTAATGTTACTATTAAACACAAATGCTGTTGTCCCCCTCTTAAAGCAGCATATTTGCCAACGCTTAGCAAATTATATATCTTTTTTAACATTGTGACCAACTTGTACCTTAACAGTTTCAAGTATACAGTACTGCTTTCTTTGTATGCACCAATTGTTAAATAGGTCTCTAGATCCTGTAACAAAATGGACCAATATGCTGCTGCAACAGACACAAATAATAGTTAAAAAAACTTACATACTTACATACATACATACATACATACATACATACATACAAACAAAAAAAAAACTATTAAATTAACAAATGGCCTACTCAAATAATAATAAGACATAAAAACAAATTAAGTGCACTATAGTTCAGACACAAGCAGGTACCATAACAGTACAGCAATTCACAAATGAAAAATGTTATATTCACATAATCCGAGAAAGTCTATCAAAACTAGAGTTATTACCTCTTCAGAAAAGGGTGTGAGCAGAGGTACAAGTGAGAAGGTAAGTGTTGGCACAGATTAGTATACTACAAGAAAAAAAAAAAAGGTGGGTGGGTGGGAAATAGATACAGCTTGTTGTAATACAAACTGGCAAACACAGGGGCATCATACACAATTACTTCACCATTCTAAATTCCCTCAGTGGCAAAACCATACTGTCTTTGTAGGGCAAAACTAAAAGGATATGCACATTGTCCATTGTAACAGTAATATTGTCTCTTGGTACTCTATACACATCAAGGAAATGCGTCCGATAAAGCTTGACATGTTTTGGTTATAAGCCAAGTGTACCCAGGCTTGGTGCTGCTTTAACAAATGAGAAATGTTATGTTCTGACCTGAGAATTTAAAGCTACTGAATTACACCTATCTAAACTAAGAGAGATTCTCTTTGAGGGTTCTGGATCGTCATCCCATACAGTACATGCTAGCATTTGGAAAACAATCCAGCTGAGGTGCAATTTACTATCGTGAGAGTTTTTGGCTTGAAACAAGCTCCCCAAGGGAACTTGTGAGATTTTTTCCTTCTCCATGTTTTTGTATACAATATAAGCTCAGTCAAGCATCTGCAACAGTTCTGTCCATAACAAAAATCAATCAATATCTTGCCAGCATATCAATATGGGAAAAACAATCCTGAGTCAATCATTTGGTACTGTAATTTTTTTGGGTTAAGAGAAACTTTGGAACTGCAGTTTAAAAAGTCTTATTTTTTTCTTTAAGCAAGGGATCCTTTTGTCACACCTACACACTGAACATATCCATTCTGATACTACTGAAGCTTGCGTCTAGGCCAGAGGCAGTCTTAGCCTTGACTTCCAACGCATTATCTAAGTCAACCAGCTTCTGGCTTAGCTCATTGTCAGACTCATCTGAACAACTCTCGGCGGGTAGTGAGGTTGGAACCCCTGAGGTGCTGCAGGAAGTTGAGGTAACCGTTGAGGGTGAGGAGAGGGGAGGAGGAGGGGAAGCAGACGGGGAAGAGGAAGCAGCTTTCCGGGCTGTGGTGGCCTGGAACAGGACATTTGGCCAGGACTTCATGGACAAGCGAGAGAGATGAGGAAAGGTGTTATTAGAAGAAGCTGCAGACTGCGAGGTAGATGTGGTGTTAGGAGTAGGGGAGCAAACAGAGTGAGGTAATAATCTAGTATGCTCTTTGGCATTTCTCATTGCTTGTTTGATTGTTTTCTCTTTGTGCAAGCTCGACTGAAGGTGTTGGCCAAGTGCTTCATTCCCATTAACAACCACATTGCAGGCAACACAAGTGTAGTTGCTCACTGCCTTTCGAAGCACTGTTTCTTGCGGGTCAGGAAAAGGATGTCCAAAGTAACAGAAGGACTTCTGATGACGTACCACTGAATCTTCTTCAGCAAAAATCATCTGGCACTTCCTACATATAAACTCATGCTTGACAGATGGTACAATAAAAGCATCTGGAAAGTCCATAGTACTTTTGGTTTCTAATTTCGGTTCTTCTTTTGTGCTTTCTTTTGAAGAGCCTTGGTTGTTGTCATCCTTAGCTTCTACAGCTTCTTTTGGTTTGAAGGAGTTGGTTGTAGTGCTCTGTATGCTCTGAGGTGTTTTCATGGGGGTTGGTCTCTGTTGATGTTGCTGCTGCTGTTCAAGCTGTTTCTGCTGCTTCTCAAGTTGTTTCTGCTGCTGTTGCTGTTGCTTTTGCAGTGAATCCTGGAGGGACTGGTGGTACTGCTGGTACTGTTGCAGGAGAGCAGTTGGGGAGAGACCCGCAGCCATGGCAGCTTGTGGAACCGCTGCTGGCCCATATGGAAACAGGCTTTCTAATCCACACAATGGTGGAAAATAGCCCCCAGTCTGAACCCCTCTGGGAAGCTGTGGAGTAAAGCAATTGGGAAATCCAGGGAGAAAATAGGGCAAGAACTGTCCCCCCAGAAAAGAGCTGGGATCACCTGCAGCAAGAGCATTCTGAAGTGCTTGAAGCTGTGAAGCATCCAAGGAAGTTTCACTTCCTGGTTTCCCTGGTGCTTGACTTTGTTTTTCTCTTGTTTTGGCCATGCTGGGGGTGTCTGGGCGTGAGCCGCTCTCATTCTCTCTGTCCTTTACCTTCATTTGAAGTGGCTTGTCTCCCGGTTTCTTGACACTGCCTCTCTCTGAGTCTTTACCTTGCTGCTCTGTATGGTTTACGGTTGCCAAAGGTGTGGAGGGAACAGGAGGAGGAAGAGGAGGTGGAGGAGGAGGAGGAGGAGTCTGCAGAATAGTCTTGGTTGGGGTAGTGCTGAGAGACATGGCAGGAGAGGGGGTGGCTGGTGTAGGGAACCCAAGCATGCCAGCACCAGGAGACGCTAAAGCTGAAATACAGTGGTATATAAATATGGAAATATTCAATATTTAAATAGTCAAACCCAAATCACTATGGAAATTTATTAGTATAAGATAAATATGCTATCACTGGCTGAGTTTTTAACTTTCTTGTTAAGACTTTGTTATGGATCAAAACTGTCACATGCGCTTTAAAATAAATTAAAATGTAGATTGTATTAAATATAAAAATAACAAACCCACAAAAGAGGGAACAAATACATTACTTAGGTAATTTGGCAAAAAAGTCTCTAATTTTACAATTAGCTATTCAACTTTTTAGCTGACATTGTGCATGCACATATCACCATTCTTTTAAATTGTTACAATAGTTTTGAAAATACTTTTTTGGAAAAAAAAAAAAAAACGTTGGAATACAGAATAACAATAACATTGTAAAATAAAACAGTGCATGATAAAGTTCAGTTTATAAAGCTTCTAATCTGTTTTTTTAATGTTTGTCATACCAACTCACCAGGTGTATTGGGTGGAAAAACAGGAAGAGATGATGGTCCGTTTACTCCAGGTAGTAACACTGGTGGAAGGCCAGACAACCCTGGATAGCCTGAGGGTAGGCTGAGTCCATGTAGTGCACTGTTGTTATCCACTGAAGTCTGTTGCTGCTGGCTAGGCAGACTGAGTCCTTCACCAACTTTTTTCATACGATCAATCTCTTGTTGAGCCATCAGCTGACGTACAGTGGTCGGTGCTAGGTAGTCCTTTTCTCTATCCACCTGATTTCCTAAAGTTTCTTGCACTTTTGCAATGTGCTGTTTAGAGAAAATATGGTCTCTAACAGACATTCGGGCAGTGTACTTTACACCACACAGTGTGCACTCAGTTCTGGGTCCATCTGGTGAACCTTGACTTATCATGAATGGCTTTCCAATGTTAATCTTGAATTTTTTTTCTTTTGCACGGGCATTCTGAAACCACACCTGGACAACACGTTTTGGAAGTCCAATCTCATTGCCCAGCATCTCACACTCTTGCATTGTAGGTGTGCGATAGTCACTAAAACAGGCTTTGAGTACTTTAAGTTGAAGGTTACTCATCTGGGTCCTGAAACGTTTGTGGCCTGGCCGCTCCCCACCGTTGTTGGCTTTTCCAGATTTGTTGAAAGGGTTACCTGCTCCAAAGGGACTAGGAGAACTGGGATCAGCAAGGCTTGATGATTCACTCATGTCATTGTTTTCATCCATTTCATCATCTCTGGAGCTAAAGTAAGAGTCACAGTCTTTTCCAGAAAAGCTGAGTGCAGGGCTCACCATACTGAACTGGAACCTATCATTTACACCATCAAAATTTGGCACCAGACCTTTTTTGTTGTCACTAAGCTTGTCTCCCCCATTGGCAGTTAGACTCTCAACCTCATTGTTATTACACTCATCACCAGTTGTAGCATCACTGATGGCTGTATTAATTGATGATGTCTCATCAAAGTCCATCTTAATGAGATCATAAGAGGAAGTTTCTGCTGAATTATTATTAGGCCCTTCAGATTCATCACAATTTTCAGCTTTTAAGGATGAAGGGCTTAAGAAGTTTTTTACTTGTGCCTCAGATGGTTTGACTGGAGTTGAGGATGCAGCGGGCAGGTCATACTCATTTGGCTCAGTCTTAGTAGGCAGCTGTGGGTAGTCAAAGAAATTATACTTATTTGGACTTTCCCCTCTTTCATTGTCTTGATTCATCATTGGACTTGGCGGCAGGCTAAAGCCTGCCTGCTTAGCCTCATGCCAGTGTCTCGATCGTATGTGGCTATCTAGTGCAGATTTAGCCTTAAACAATGCTCTGCAAAATGGACATTTCTTGTGGGACTGGGAGGGCCCTATAGCCCTGAACTGTCCCTTTCTCTCTCTTGCACGAGTGTTTTGGAACCACACTTGCACAACTCTCTTTTTTAAACCAACCTCTCGTGCAATGTGGTCCAGCATCTTCCTGGTTGGGTTAGAGTCAAGAAGATATTTGTCATAAAGGATTTCTAATTGTTCTGGTGTGATGGTAGTTCTCAAACGTTTATCTCTGTGTTGCTCTTCACTACTGTTTCCACCATCTTTATCATTAGCATTGTCCTCTTTATCATCTAATTTTCTCTTCATTGTGCCAGAGCCTGTGGCTGAGGCCATACTAGAGCTACCCTGGGAGGGCATTTGGGTGAGCCCCCCAGATAATAATTGGCTAGCCATTAGGGGGTTGTTGGGATCAAATATCATATAAGGCATATCAATGGGTCTTTCAAGGAACTGAGAGTGAAGAAATTGGTTCTGGGCAGCCAAGAAATGCATGTGCTGGTGCTCCTGCCATAGCTCCACACTAGGGAATGCAATTTTACACTGTTCACACTGGTACTGAAGTAATTGGTGGGGCAGACTGTTTGTGAGTGAGGAAAGTGCCAGGGAAAGTGGACTTGAGGGCACTGTAGCTGCCTGAGGTTGGGAATGCGGTCTTGACAGCTGTGGTTGAGGGACTTTCTGAGGAGGTGGTTGAGGTGTGCAAGCTTTAGATGGTCTTGGTTCTGGTAGTGACTTAACTACTGGTGAGGGGGATGTCTCAGCTTGTTTCAGTTCTGTTTCACTTCCAAAATCTGGCTTAGGGGAAGTTTTTCCCATTGAAGTATGGGGAGAGGCCATCACAGGTGAGCTTGATCCAGAACTGGTGGAAGTTCCTGTTTGGAATTGTTTTGTTAACTCTAAAGGTAGGTGAATACCCTTGATGGAAATGTGTTCAGAATTATCTATGTATTCCTCACAAGGGTTGTCTTCATTACATTCCTCATCTTCATCCTTATAGCAGAGTTTTTTCTGGTGAGTGATAAGGTCAAAGATACGTGGGAACACAATGTTGCATTTTTTACACTGGTACTGCATGTTGCTGGTTCTGATGTATCGCTCGTTGGTCAACTCTTTTTTCTCATTGTCTTTAGAATCTGCCTGGTTCTCATAGCTCTTACGAGCTTTCTGGCGGGCATTTTGAAACCACACCACAATGACACGTGTTGGTAAATTGAGTACAGTTGAAAGCTGCTCAATCTCATCATCCTTTGGGTAGGCATTAGTGTCAAAAAAATCTTGAAGTACCCTCAATTGGTAATCAGTGAATCTGGTCCTAGAGGACCTCTTGTTCAGGGCTGAGTCAGTTCTATAGTACTCATGTGCACTGACCTGAGGCTCCATTCTAATATCTTCCAATGTAGTAATAGGAGGAATGTTAAAATTGTATGGTGAGTCTTTACTCCTCTGCCTTTCTTTGAAAAGAGTGTTACGAAACCAGTGCTTTATGACTTTTTGAGGCAAACCAGACTTCTCTGACATCTCTTGAATTTGCTCTTCATTGGGAGAATTGTTGATATCAAAGTTTGCACGAAGAATCTTAAGCTGCTCATCAGTTATACGGGTGCGTGGTCGCTTAAATTGAGACTGGCGAAGGAAGTTAGGATCAAGACCCAACTGCTGCTGGCAGAGTTGTGTAAGGTCTGAAGAAAGTGAGTCCATAGTAGGTAGCTGCAAAGCTAGCTGAGGAGGCAAGCCTGGGTGTTGGACAGACTGCATCATTAAAGGTGGGAAAAGGGGCAGGTCTAAAGGGACGGGAAGCTGGACTTGAGGTGGTGCAGGTGGAGCAGTAGGTGGTGGAGGTGGGGGTGGGGGCTGAGGTGGCTGGGTTTGGATAGAAGGTTGATGTGCTGTCTGATGTGCAACAGGAACTGGAGAAGGTGCTGGTGTTTGAGGCTTAGTCATTGAAGAAGAAGGAGGCTGAGGAGCCGATACAGGAGCTGGAGCACTAGGAGGTGGTGGAGGAGGAGGAGGTGGTGGTGGTGGAGGTGGAGGAGTTTCAGGTGAAGCAGGGTTTATTGGATAGAGTTTGTCATATGCCTCTCTGTACTGTTGAGCAAACTTTTCAAGTTCAACATATGGAAAAAAATGACTGTGCACATGCTCCTGATGGCTTTTAAGAATGAGCATATTAGAGAATAGTTTTCCACACATCCCACACTCAAGCTTATCAGTGTTCATCTCCACTTGTTCTACTCCATCCTTGTTTTTCTTTTGGTTTTTCTGTCTGTTTTCATTGTACTGAATGACCAACTCAAATCCAAAATTCTCTAATAAAGCTTTGGCTGCATTACCCCTTGCTCCTGATACAATCCGTGGGGGAGGAATCAGTGGCTCTGGGAATTTGGACTTTTTAGCATCTTTGTCTTTTACTCCATCACTCACAGAATCTCCTCCCGTTTCCATCTTTGCCCTGCTTTCTTGTTTTTCTAAGCGTTCTTCTGCCTCCACTGACAACTGCCGTTCTGAAACTGACACATGATTAGATTCTAGTTTGGATTTGTGGTTCTGAAGTTGCTGGTGTTTCTGCTGCTGGATTTGTGTCTGTATATGGGAAGCTTGATTCTGTTGTTGTTGCTGAGCCTGCTGTTGGGCTTGAGCCTGTTGTAATTGGTGTTGCTGTTGCATCTGTTGCTTCAGGTCCTCAAGGAACGATCCTGTAAGACCTGGCATCCCAAAAGCTGCTGCTGAGTGGAGCGCAAGTTCTGGATTAATACTGAATTCTGCTCCTGGTATGTAGAAGGGGAAGAGGAACTGAGGCTGCTGAAATTGTAGCAATGCTTCTGGGGTCATTGGAAAATGTGGGAAGAAAGCTGGGTTCAGGAACTGAGGCTGGAAGAAGGCAGCCTGTTGCTGGAGTTCATGCTGAAGCTGTAGCTGCAGCTGGCTTGAGGACTGTGCTGACTGGTGGGTGTTTGCCTGTGCTGAAACATGGTCTGTAGTAGAAGTTTGTTTTGTAGTGTTGCTCATGGATTCTTTGGGTTCTACATTATTTTCTTTGTTAGAGGATGGTGTCCCACTTCTAGCAGTTTCTGAAATACTAGCATTTCCTTGTGCACTTGGGCCTGGACTTTTTGCAGGTGCTGGACCACTGCATCCAGTGGTACTGCTGCTGCCTGTGTCAGTTTTGGCAGTTCTGGCTTTGGTCTGGTGGAGTACTGACCTCATGTGAATTTCAAGTGTTGAGCTTTGGCTGTAAGCAACATTACAAATACTGCACTTGAATGGCTTGTTGTCAGTGCTGTTAGTTGTTTCCTGTGGGACAGGGCTTGAAGCCTCTTGAAGGACCTTTTTTAATTTGTGCAAGTGTGAAACAGAATTATAGTGCACCAGAAGGATGTTTTTCTGGGTAAATGACTCTTTACATACTGTGCACTTATAAGGTCGAGAGGGATCCAAAAATTTCTCCATTGTAAAGTTGGGCCCTTTTCTAAATGGCAAGGTTCGTTTTGGTTCTGCCCCCAAATCATCCAGTAGAGAGCTACTGTCACTTCCTGTAGGACTGGGTTTTTCTTCTTGATCTATTTCATCATCTTTGTCCAAGTCATGTTCAAAAGCCTGAGCTTCCTCTAAGGCCCTGGCCTCACTCTCAGTGATATCACCATTTAATGGCAGATTTCCAATTAATTGTTGTACCTCAGCTTCAGTAAGTTCAGGATGTCCATTCTCCAAATGTTTCCTGAGGGCCAGGAAAGTCCTAAAGCTTCGTTGGCAAAGGCTGCACATAGTGGCTGCCCGGATAGCATGGTACTGAGAATGTATCTGTAGCTTCTGCATGGTCTTAAATGCCAAGCTGCAGTGGTTGCAGCGATATTTGTAGACATGGCGATCAGATACAGAGAGCTGCTGTTGTTGCTGATGGAGTTTTTGGAGCTCACTGAGGTGGTCTTGTAGGTTTTCAGGTGATTTGCTGTCATGTCCTAGCCCAGCAGCTCTCTTCCAGTCAGGAGCTTCAGAGGCCTCCTTTGGGGGCTTGAGTTCTTCACCTTGCTGGTCTAATTCATTCTTGTCTTGACTGCTCAACTCGTCCTTTAAAACATTTCCTACAAAAATAAAATAACAATTTGAAGTATTATTCACAGTATCCTTGATGATTATACAGTACTGCATACTGTAGTGCATGCACATACATATGTTTCAATTGTTTAAAAAAGTTAAAATAAAAAGTGAAATTCTTCAAAACACAGCTTACATACCTTGAAAATGTCCAGATCTATCAGTAAGAGAAGTGGGAGAATCCATTAAAGACACCATTTTTCCTTGTCCCGTCTGGGGGTGCATTACACTATTTGTAGTGGCTGTTTCAGGTCCAACAACCTTAAAGATCAAAAAATATATATTTAGTGCTGATTTATAATAACTTCCAAAGCTACCAAATATACAAACAATTAATGTTTAGAAAGTATTACACGTTTTTTATTTGAAATAAAAGTGAATATTCAGCGAAGGGGGAACTATTGAATGCATAGGAAGGAACATTATATCAAAATATACAAAATCAGTAACTTCTGACCTCAGTATTATAACGGTATGATCCTTGTACAGAACATATTTTAAAATATTTAGCTATAATGTGTAACACATTTCAGAAACAGATGTACATTTTGGTTTTAAATGCACAAGTACCGATCCCTACCGTCATAATCAGCTTCTCCACACAATCAGGAGCCACGCTATGAAGATGCGTAAGATGCAGCTGCAAGTGAATTTTGTTGCTTAGGACGTCCTGGCATAGTGGACAGCGAATCACTGGCTGCATGGAATGCTGGGACATCACATGGAGCTGCATGCGGTTGGCATCTTTACTGCTATAGTTGCAATACGGACATTGCTGAATCTGAAAAACAACCAAAAAAATGTATCTGAGTAAAGAATTGATTTTGCATTACAGTACTCAACAAAAATAGCATTATTTACAAAAGGTTTTGCCAAGATATTTACCAACAACATTTAGAGGCTAAACTTGCTAAACCAAATGAAAATGTAGGTTTTTTTGGGGGTTTGGTTTTTGTTCTTTCACACCTCTCCGCCTTATCAGACGGCCACCCGAATGCACAAAATGTAAATCAACCATGTTCTATGCAATTCACTTAAGTTTCCCAAGTCATGCAATTTTATTAGCAGAAAACACGATTGGCCCAAATTTCTAATCAGGAGATTACAGATGATAAAGGTGTGTACCCTCCCAAGCTATGTCTTGCCCTCATTACATGAAGTACTCTGAGCATAGCAGACTCTCTACCACCTGTTTTAATAGAATCCATTTCTGAAATGACTAAGTCCTCCCTCCTTGAAAGTCCCAGAACCAGACGAGCTAATACTTCATAATCTAATTTAAAAACACATATAATTTAAAGAGATGCAAAAAAGGGAAAAGAAGCAGAGAGGGAGGCCTAAGGCTAGTGCTGGTATTCTACTTAAGAACACAAAGGCTGGCTTTTGTGCTTGATGTTAAAAAGCTCTGACAGAGAGGGAATGGTGGGATGCATTTAACCCTTTGAATGAAAGCTGGCGCCAGCAACTGCTAAATGCTTAGCTAAGCATTTTTGCTTCTTACAGTTAAGTATCTTCCCATTAGCTCATCCCACAGTGACAGTCAAGGTTAGATTTCATTAGTGCTTATGAGCCTGCCTCATTAGCTATTAGCGCACTGTACATGCAATGACAAGTTCCACCAAGTAGTTGAGCTACAAAGATAGAATGTTACCCCAAACAGATAAACCCCATAAAATATTTGTTTTGGCTAAGTGAGGCGTATATGTCCATGGTCAAGCTGTACAAACTGTTACTTTGAGGATCAGCTAGAATAAACTATTTTTAAATTGCTTGGAAACAAACCAAAATGCTAGCAGGTTATTTATTGATTTGCTGTAAACCCTTACCTGGTCGTTGCTAGAGGTTTTCCCTTCAGCAGACTTTGGCCTTTTGGGTGGACTCTCAATTTGTCGATCTGGCAGGAGGGAATGTTTAACTGTAGCGTTTGGCCTAGTCACCTCTTTAGACATGGCACCCCCACCTACAAGACATAAAAATAAAAGAAAACGTTTAAGAAACTGCTTTTAGATTTTTACAATTTAACATTAGTTTGCATTAACACTTTATCAATAGTTTTACAATATATATTTAAAATCCAATATCCAAAATATGCCATGCAATACAAAATATTAATGGAATTATGACTGATGTATTTTTCAGAACTGAGCCTGTTTGAAATGTGGAATGGGTCAGAATAACATGATGGGTTCAAGGTATTTAATCTCATTTACAAATGGAATATTAATCTTAACATAAATATATAAAACTGACAAATGTGAGAAAATATATTGGTATAAAAATGACATACTGAGGCTGTTTTGCATGAGAATTGATTATACTAGTATTGATTTACAAATAATCTAGCATGTACTATAAACAAGTATACCAAATTAACATTCAGTGGGGCATAGGTGATGATTCAAAAAATGATTTGACTATTAAAAAAAAAAAAACATTAGCTCGAATAAAAGCATGAACTGTATAATTCATATTCATATATGGTGACACGATTCTGGCCGGAGGACATGTAAAATGGGAAAAACTCAGGCAGGCTCATTATCACAGCACGACATACATTAAATGTTATGGTAATATTATACACTTCATTAGTTCATATACATTTCCCCGACCGCCTCAACAACTCCAGTGTCTGTGTAAGATGCTAAATTTTCGGGGCTTGGTCACGGCTGGTGGTACAGTAGCAGTGTGTGTCTGTTTGTATGTTTGTGTGAGTGAGCGACATTAACAGCAGGGCTCAATGTGGAGAGATCAGCCTCTGGTTGTATTTAGTAAATGCTGCAGCCACTGATAAATCTTTCATTAGCCTCATCCTAAGATACCAGCCGTGCAGCCCCTGCTCTACTCTGCCACTGCAATTTACCCATTCTGTTCAACACAAAGACACAGCAACTCTCCCTCTCTTGTTCCCTCCCTCTTCTTCCTCCATCTTTTCCTAAGCCCTCACACACCCACCCCCCTTCCCCTTGCGTCCCCTCCCTTGTCTGGTCACTCAAGGCAATATGTGAGCCTCACTCTTGCGAATCAACGCTTCACGCTAGATGCACAAATGGAAAAAAAGGGAAATCAAAGCACTGATACAGGGAGAGGGGGTTGAAAAAAAAAAAAAACATTTTGTATTTCATATTATTCTGTGGCTCGTGTTTGTATTGGACGCATATCAATTCCTCCGGCCCGTTCATGCATTTTAATTCTGTTGCATTAAGTAGGCGTTCCACTTATTTTATTTGTAATCCCCTATATCTGGAGCCTGAAATATTGGCCTGTCAAGGAAAGTGACAAGAGAGAGGGAGGGAGGGTGGGAGTAAAGAAAGAAAGAGAGATGAGAGAAAAAGGAAAAGAAAAAAAAACACACACACACACACACAAGGGCACAATGTGAATTTCCAAGAACATCCGAGAATTACTCTGCAACGCAAGAGCGAGGTAATTTTGTCTTCCACTACTTGTGATGGCCCCTGCAGGGCTTGCACATGTGTGTACGTGTATGTGTGGTGTATATATATATATATATATATATATATATATATATATAGGTATATGTGTGTGTGTTTGTGTGCATGTCGTGTCAGGACACTGACACTCCATTGTTGTGGAGATTGGCCCAGGGTAGAAGCACCCATCACATCATCTGACCTAACCAAAGCCTGCATCTCGCCTACCATATTTATTATAACCATTTCTAATTTCAGCTTTCAATTTTTGCCTCCGTCTTCCAGTCAATTTGCAACTAAATTACATCCCTGAGAAAGGAGATGAGGCGATTGTCGGACAAGAGTCTGCACACACATTTACAATACAGCAGGGGGAAAGGGCCCACACATCATCATTGATTACCATCATGCTGAATGTAAATGTATGTTTGTGTAATGTGTGCTGTTGTGTCGTGTGTGTGCAGCTGGTTTATATGCGACTTTGACCTAGTGCTTTCATCAGTGTTTATAAAACACAAATGAATAAAATAGTTGGTCAGCCCTGGATGTTGAAAGAACTGTTTCCTCTCTGGTCTCCAAAGAGCATTGGATGGCTTGTCCTGACAGCCAATAAACAGCTGTTTTTGAAGCAAGGGATTAAATTCAAAATGTAGAAAATGTCTCAAGGATACAAATACCTGTAAAACAAACAAATGCACACGAACAAACAAACCAAACTCTGCCCTATAAAAACATAAAAGTCTGTATTTGTGTATGAATATATACATTTATGTGTATACTGTATATACAGACATATATATATACATACCTTAAATGCATACATACATACTTTACATACAGTACATACATACATACATACATACATACATACATACATACA